AGGACTTGGTCCCATGAGGTCGCGTTTGGCGCTGTTTTGGCGAGGATGGCGGTTAGGGACTTGATTGTGCGTTCGCATGCGCCATTGCCCTCTGGGTGGTATGGTTGTGCGATGTGCACTTCCATTTGGTTCGCCTTGGTGAACCGTTTGAATGCGGCGGATGAGAAGACCGCTGCGCCGTCCGAATGGATGATCTCAAAGGATCCCAGCTGCGCAAAAACATCTGCGAGGAAGCTGCAAAGTGCGTTGGCTGTCGCCCGTTTCACTGGTTGCGCGATGGCGCGTTTGGTGTAGTAGTCGACGGCCACGAGGGCGTATCGGTTGCCCGTTTGTGACGGGGGAAATGGTCCCCAGAAATCTACCCCGAGGCGATCGTGTTTGTCGGTGGTCGGGACGGCTTCCAAGTGCGTTCCCACTGTGGCTGTCGCCGGATTGAAGGTGAAGCATTTTGTGCATTCGGAGACCCTCTTAAATATTTGCGTCCGCATTTCAGGCCAGGTGTATCGCTGGCGTAGTTGATGGAACGTCCGTTTCCAGCTAGGGTGTCCCATTTCAATGTGGTATTCATCGATTATGTCCTGGCGTTCGGATTCGTCCGGGATTTCCTTAAGTTGGATGGTATTTAATCTGATGCGACTGAGGGCGTCTGGCCCTGTTAGCGTTTTGCCCGGTCGGTGTACCAGCGTGTAATTGAAGGATTCCAATTTGATCTTGAGGCTGATAAGTCGTGTGTCGGACAGTTCCCCTAGGAGGGCCTTGTGGTCTGTGATAATCTTGAAGTGCCGATGTTCGACGTAGTGGCGGAATTTTTTGGTCGTCGCCCATACTGCTGCGAGCAGCTCTCGCTGCGTGTTGGAGTAGCGAGTTTCCGCGGGGGTTAGTACCCGACTCGCGTATTCCATGATGTGGGGTTGTCCTTCTGGGTCGATTTGGACAAGGATGGCCCCTATTGCAGATGTGGACGCATCGCAATGGATTTCGGTATCCCATGCTGGGTCGAACCGTTCCAGCCGAGCGGCGTTTGCTATCGCTTGTTTTAGCGCTTCGAACGCTTCGGTCGCCTCTGGTGACCAGATGATGGCTGTCGCCGGTTTGACTGGAATTGTAAGTCGTAGGACTTTTTCCAATTGCGCGAAGTTGGTCGGCACGTGGGCCCGTAGGTAGGTAGCGAGGCCCAGGAATCGCTGCATCTGGCGTGTGGTTGCTGGTTGCGGGAAGGCCTGGACGGCTTTGAGATGCTCTTCTGCCGGGCGTGTGCCCGTTTTGTCCACGATATGCCCGAGGAAGTTGATGGACTCTGCCAGAAATTTGGATTTGTGGATATCGATGGACGCTCCTGCGGACGCAAGCGTGTCGAGGACTTGGTGTAGGTTTTCCAGTACCGTTTCGAAGGTATTGCCGAAGACGATGATGTCATCAATATACACTAGGCATTTCGTGTATAAATGCGGGCGTAGGATGGTTTCCATGGTTCTTTGAAAAATGGCGGGTCCCGTTTTGAGGCCGTATGGGAGAACCGTGTACTGCATTTGTCCCGTGTAGGTTGAAAACGCGGTCTTATGGCGGTCGCCGTGCGCGATGGGGATATGGTGATATCCCGAATGCAGGTCGAGACAGCAAAAGTAGGCGTTTTGGCGCCCTAGTGCGTCTAATATGTCCTGAATGACGGGCATCGGGTAGTTGTCCGCCAGTAGAACCTTGTTGATTTCCCGATAGTCCTCTACCAGGTGCCACCGTTTGATTGCGGGGGCGTTGGGATCGTCATCTTTCGGCGTCAGGAAGGCCGGGGAATTGACGGTGGACTGGGCTGGTTCTATGATACCCGCGCGGGTGTAATTGTCGATGATGTGTTGGAACGATGGTCGCTTGTCTGGCGAAAGCCGTATGCGGCGACTGGGTTCGGGGTCGTCCCCGTTGGTGGGTAGCGATGCCACGTGCTGGGGGAAGAGCCCGTGTTTACCACTCCACTGAAAGATGTTGGGTGCGTAGCGCCGCAAGAGTGCCGCGATCTGCTGTTGCTCTGCGGGCGTTCCATGTACAAACGTAATGCCCTGGCCTATCGGCGCTGTTGGGGCTTCATTGATGGGTTTAATCTGTTGGAATCCGGAAAAAACTCGCTGGCCGTCGAGAGTGACGCAGAAAGGGAGATTCTTCAACGTGTCCAGCCCGAGTATAACAGGGTAGTGCGCGTTGGAGAGTAGTAAGAAGGTGGCTTCGTACGCGGCCGATCCAAGAGTAAAAACGGTACTCACTGCGTGACTGACGGTCGTCGAAACGTGAAGAACCGCTGCGGATATCCTCGCTTGGGTCGGATGCGGAGACAGGCCGACTTCCTCGGCGACGTCCGTCGCCATGAACGATTTTGTCGCTCCGGTGTCGATCANCTCCGGTGTCGATCAGGGCGGTCACCCGTTTGTTTTTGATGGTGATGATGATGGTCAGGCTGTCGTCTGTGGGCGTGGGGATCGAGCAGAGGACAGCCGTCACTGCCCGATCTTCCCGTTTCCCGGACACGTTGCTGCGGTATGTCCTGTATTGCCGCATTGAACGCATTTAGTCGGTTGAATTGATTGTGCGGGGGATGGTGTATTCACCTGGTTTGCCGGGTTATTCCGGCATTCCTCGGTTGAATGTGCGACCATGCGCCCCGGGTGAAATGATTATTGCCGCATTGAACGCATTTAGTCGGTTGAATTGATTGTGCGGGGGATGGTGTATTCACCTGGTTTGCCGGGTTATTCCGGCATTCCTCGGTTGAATGTGCGACCATGCGCCCCGGGTGAAAAGAGCAGCTTTGCAGGGGGCGTCCGTTAGCCGTTGTGGACGGCGTGGATGCCCGTGAGCTGGTGCGTGACATCGTGCACTCCGCCGTGCTGTGGAACACGTACCGCTGGTGATTGTCGCAGTAATATTTCGTGACTCCCGATGCCGTCGTCTTGGGTGGGCGGTTGGCGGGTGATTGCGGTGCCGGTGATGCGGCCGGTTTTGGTGGCGCCGGATGCGTTCGTCTATATTCGTCGGCGATCGTCAGGCATTCGTCCCATGTGAGGGAGCGGTCGGCTGTCGCCCGCGCGTGAAGTTGCGCGTGAAGTCCGCCGGTGGTGATGGACAGGAGTTGTCCAATGAGGGCCCGCGTGATGGCGGTCTCATGTAGCCCGACCTCATTGGGTGGTAGGGCGAGGTATCGGAGGTACTCGTCGCGTAGGCGTGGACCGAACTGTGAGTATAGCTCGTCGGACGCCGGTCGGAACTGCTGAAACCTGGTAAAGTGTTCGAATGGGGATAAACCAAACCTGGCCTTGAGCTTCTCCGCGATGATGTCGTAGTCCTCGAATCCTTGATCATATAGGAGTTGTGCTGCTTCCGCTACTTTCGGTTGAGAGTGCCCGATGAGGCAGTCGACTCGCGTGAAGTTCGGCGTTCCGTCGTGTTTAAAGGCGGTGTCGAGGCGTCGCAGGTACATTTCGATGCTTTCGTTCGGGGACTGTAGTGGTTGGGTGGGAAGGGGGGTTTGGATGTGGAAATCTTGAGTGAACCTTGTGAATGCTGAAAAGCAGCAAATAAAGTGTTCTGTTCATTCATTCATTCATTTCTGGCCCACAATTTCAGATGATGAGAATGAAATTACCATATAATGTAGATTGTGCATCTATTTGTGTTCCTAAATACCATTTGCTGTGATTTTCGTCCTTCTTAGAGGAAAAAGATGACAATTCATTATTCAATCATTCGTATGTACTGTGGGATCAATTTGTTCAGTGAACGCTGACATAGCTTTTACAGGATATTAATCATCGAATTTAGTTTTTCGTGTATTGAGGAACTTTTTCAGATTATTGCAATTATACCCATGCCGTTTTTAGAGAATTGAGGATTTTCGTTGTTGATTTCCTGCTTCAGTTTATCTCCGCCAGTGAATTCTTTCATTCGAATCTTGGGCAATTGATGGAAGAAAGCTTATTAACTTTTCGATTTTCTGGGTGAACAAATTAGTGGAATTAATTGGCTTTCGAAGGTATAGGATCTTTTTCAAAGGTAAATTTTATTGATGGAAACCACTGATCGTGCGCAGTAATAAAAAAGAGGCGAATAAAAATGCCTTGAGGATGATGATGATATTACGATCGAAGGAATTATCGCGAATATGATTGAAAACTCGATACATTTATTTAAGAATCACGATGAAGGGGGACATTTTTCAAATGAGATGCTCTGATGGAGGAAGACGAGAAATCTTTAATGCCCAGCATTTTCTGAACGTTCCCTCCAAGATTTTGCATAATTGCTCGCCGAGTCGTGGAATAATTGGTTTTCTGGAAGCCAGTGCACCTTGGCCTGAAGTGATTATTTCTCTGAACTGGTCGACGTATAATCGTTGTGAGATTCTTCTCCAGTTTGTTGGGAAGTCAGAACAAGGATAAGGAAAGAACCGAAAGGTTCGTTGTGGCCCACGAGTCAAGGCTGGTCACTTCATGTGTTGCGCCGCAGTAGCGCCTGTCTTTTTCTCCCCCATCTTAAAGTCATTGTGTCCCGAGCACGAAGGTTTCTTCTTTTATTTTTAAAATATATAATTATTAGCTTTTTTATTAGTAGCTTCTACTGCGATCCTTGTGACCCTCGTCTGCATGAAACTTTTTTGTTTCGCGAAGACGCTAGTTTTCTAAGCCGTACAGTCGCGACTTCCTGAGGTTTTCGGCGTTGTGAAGATTTTCTCTGGTCGACCAACTTTTTGCTGTTTCACTGCAGAAAATCACGGACGAATCGGCTTTGGAACAACGCAAAAATTTGTCCCGACATCGTGACGATGTCTTGAGATATGGACGCTTGAAAAAAAAAATTTTAGACGTGGGAAAATGTTACCCTTCAAAATTTTGATATCGAACAAATCGAGCTTTTTAAGTTTTTATATTCATAAAAATTAAGAAGAAATGTTCCCATTCAAGTCTAAGCGAGAACATGTTCCGACATGCGGACGTTCTGGCATTGGAACAATGTTCGAGCACCAATTATGTACGCATCTGCGGGCCCCACTATAATTTCTTTGATTGTTGTACCGAGAAAATCAATATTTTAGGTATTCAAGAAACCTAATCGCCATATTTCGTAGGACGTGTCAGCGGGTATGCTGAGGTCAATTCGACACGTTGCGCATTCGAAATGAGTACGGAAAATATCTGTTGATTTTATTCTTCCCGCGTCTTTCGTCTCTTTGTGATTCTCTTCAGTCGATGTCCATCGTGATTTAATTTTTTTTTCAAAGCTTATTTAAATAAATTTATATTTGATTTTGTTGGGTTTTTTTGTGTCTGAGTGCTCGATTATGTCGATTCAAATATTTTCGGTTGATTTAGTTCATTTTTAAGATTTCAACTGAATCCAGTTTAATTTGATTCATTTATGGTCAGTCAAGTGTCACCTGCCGACGTTTCTGGACAACTGGGTGAGCATTTAGGTGAAAAAAATAAATTGGATGGATTGTTCACATTCCCAAGATGGTCTTGTGGTGACTCAGGGAACAAATACAATATAATCGAAGTTGAAAGATCTGAATGGGGTTTGATGTTTTTATTTTATTTTTTATTTAGTGATTCATGATGACATAGATCTACGTCATTCTCAAGTTCGTGCAGCTTTTTTTTCTTCGGAATTTCGCTTTTCCTCTTGGGAGGATTTGTTATTTTTCATATGCAGTATGACATCGTTTTTACGCAAAATTTTTGGTTTTAAACTGTGTGATGTGCTGTTAGATCGTGATGTGCAGCCGAATTTTTGTTGACGTTAGCCTGCGATTTTATTTAAGATGTACCTAAGAAAATTATCGTAAACTTTGATGGATGCCTGCTGTCATGGGGATGATCCAATCTGTGCCCTTTTCTCGTCGATTAGCTCGTACCTGACGTCCCACTGGTTCTTACTTTCCCAGGGTTTGAGCTGATGAATCTTTCAGACTTTTATTATTTCTTCATGTATCAAATCTTGAATGAGCCACTGACCCGACATGCGTCGGATGCCGAGACTTATCTAAATTGGTTCAGGTCGCCGGAACTCAATATTCCGCCCACGTACATGACCTGCTTTTTTGATCTGGCTTCTGAACGTACTGTAGGTTAAAAAAAAAATTATAGCAGCATGATTGCGAGTCTGAAGTGTTTTAATCATCCCGAAGACGATTTAGTTCAGCCATTTATCGTCCGGTTCAACGGGCTTATTCGGTGTCGGGATTAGGTTTGCCAATTTTTTTTGCGCAATTTGTGATTATAATTGAGCAAGCCATTTCAGAGGAACCGGACTTTGATTGGCAGCGGTTTATTCATCTTGCCTAAGTATCAATTCATTGAGAGGAGGGTTGGGTGGGTGACTTTATGGGCTGTGTTTTAGCCGTGGTTTGGCATTAATGTTTTCTCGGAAATTTTCGCACATTGTGTTGACGTGATTTGTATATAGATTTTTGTGTTTTTTCCTTTAGTGAATGAATATCCTTTTTTTATGCTCGATGGTTCGGGATTTTTTTCTTTATCATCCGATCGAAAACACGTAATCATTAGCCCGGAAATCTACGATTTCTGCTTTTTTCTCTCTTTCCTGTATTTTGAGGAGCTAATTAAATGTAATCGCTGATTGAGATGATGGGAGAATTTAGAGGCCCGGTATTGAGTCATCATCTACCGTCGCACTTGGGGAGCCGTTGGTTCATGAAGTATGTATTTCGTAAGCAGATCCAAGGACTTCCGCTGCACGGTTGCATAAAAGTTCACTGCGGGATTCGGTTACTGTTTGGCCAGTTGAAGGACTTGAACTTTTGCTGTCTTGGACTTGAAAATCGGAGTACTGTGCAGTCGAATCTCGATTTATTGCCCTCTTTTGTCCCGGTACATGTTGTGGCACTGACCGAGGATGGCATTAAATTCAGCTCAAATTTGCTGTTTTTGTACTTCATTTGTACAGATATTGTGTCTAGTTGAAGGGCAGAGTTGTTTCTTGTAGTTTTTTTTAAAGTTCTATATCAGGTGTCATCATGCAGGAATCACCAATTTTCCCAAGAAAGCTCTCACGTTATTTATCAAGTTTTCAATGAATTAAAGTGCAATGAAAGGGCAAAGATACAGTATTTATTGACGAAGTAAGTTAAGAAATAAAATTGTTCGAAATTATACTGCTTTTTTGTTTTTAGCATCGACATGAGATTCTCAGTGATAAGCCAATGAAGTCCGTTGAAGAAGTCTCTAATTTCTTGGATTTTGGTATATTGCCCAGCGTGATTCCATCACTTATAGTCTGACAATTTTAGACGCCGGATCGGAATGTGAGACGACCTGGTTTACATACCTGTTGTCGGCTTCATTGCAGAGGGCAC